TGCCATCTGGAGTACAGATGCGTAAAGTGTGGAGATAGGCACCCATCGTCCGAATGCACCAAAATTGCCAGTGAACCAGCAGTCTGCCTCCACTGCGACGGATCACATGCGGCCTCTTACAAGGGCTGTCCAGCCTACAAAAGGCAAAGAGCACGTTCGCCCCCAAGCAGACTGCCCCAAGACGCCAGCAACCTCAATTCAGCAAAATTAACCCTAACATCAGCTATGCTAGCGCAGTCAAAAACGGAGCACCACAGTTTGACTCCAACCCCAATCCCGATCCCAGTCTTTCAAGTAATCCAATGGACGCCCTAACGGCTAGGATGGAATCTATGTTTGAGCGCATGATGGAGAAGGTCTTGAGCCAAATAGCCCAAATGATGGCCACCGTTTGCAAATCCTTATGCATACGCAATTAAATATAACCATATGGAATGCTAACGGCCTGGTAAAAAGAAGGCCAGAGGTCGAGCTATATTGCAAGACCCTCCAAGCAGACGTTCTCCTCATATCAGAAACGCATTTTACCAACAGATCATACTTGACTATTAGAGGATACGACCTCATTGCCGCTAACCACCCGAACGGTAGAGGTCGCGGGGGCGCGGCCATCCTTATTCGCAGCTGCATCAAGTATGAGGCACTTCCAGCCATGTGCGAAGACTGGGTACAATGTGCCCAAATTAAAATCTCCACTACCAACGGTGACATAACAATCGCCGTAGCATATTGCCCCCCCCAGGCACAACATCCACGAACAGGAATTTGGCTTGCTACTGGATTGCCTCGGCCCCAAGTTCATAATCGGAGGGGACTTTAATGCTAAACACCCCTGGTGGGGCTCCAGGATTACGAACCCAAAGGGCTCGGCCCTATACAGGCAGATTCAGTCCCGAATCTTGAGCTGTCACGCAACCGGTGCACCCACATACTGGCCTACGGATCCCCACAAAATCCCTGATGTGCTATACTTCGCCATCTCCGGAGGACTGGATTCTGCCGGAATTCAAGCGAGAGAAGTAGAAGACCTCTTCTCGGACCACAGCGCCTTTGCCGTGTCCCTTTTCACCCCAGCCTTGCTCAGGTCAGCCCGCAAAAAGCTGATCTACAAGACAACAGACGTTGACAAGTACCAATCCTACCTGAACAACGTTACCGACCCCAGCCCGAAACTTGACTCCCCGGTTGACATCGACACCGTTGTAGAAGAGTTAACAGCCCATATTCAGGCGGCAGCTTCTGAAGCAGCACCAAGGCCCTCCAACCGCCCAAGAGCCACTGACAGGGACATCCATTTTTGGAGCCCAGAAGTCGAAGAACTCAAACTTGAAAAGCGACGACTCCGAAGAGTGTGGATGCTCTCAAGGAATCCTTTGGACAAAACCGCCTTCAATAGAGCGACCAAATGTCTGACAGAAACTCTGGCAAGACTAAGGAAGCAGGCCTTTGACGGGTTCGTCGAACAACTTGAGCCAGGCGACCCTCAACATAACTTATGGCGAGTCACCAAATCTATCAGACAGCCGCTGAAAAGGATCCCACCTGTACAAAGAACCGACGGCAGCTGGTGCAGATCGGAGATGGACAGGGCCAACGCTTTCGCCGAACACCTCGAAGGTGTCTTTACGCCTTTCGATCGCTGCTCACCGGAGGATGCTGCTGAAACTGCCCGTCTGCTAGCCGAGCCTTCTAGGGACGCCGATCCAATACCACCAGTGACTGAGGAGGAAACAGCTGAGCTTATAACCATCATGAGCAACAACAAGGCCCCGGGCGATGATGGTATCAATGCAATTGCATTAAAAATGTTACCACCTCCAAGCATTCAGCTAATTACGAGGATCTATAATAGATGCTTGGAGATAGGGTACTTCCCGTCCACATGGAAACGTGCCCAGGTAACTATGATACCTAAGCCCGGGAAACCCGAAGCAAACCTTTCGTCCTAGCGACCAATAAGTTTGTTACCAACACTCTCCAAAATACTTGAACGAGTGTTTTTAAGCAGAGCACTGCCAGTATTTGACGAGGCTGGACTGATCCCTGACCACCAGTTTGGCTTCAGGCGGCGACACGGTACGCCAGAGCAGTGCCATCGGGTAGTGCAGTGCATCCTGGACGCGTTTGAAACCAAGATGTACTGCATGGCCGTCATGCTGGACGTGAAGCAGGCGTTTGACCGAGTCTGGCATCCCGGTCTTCTATATAAATTAAAGACTGGCCTACCCCGACCATACTTCCAGTTCCTAAAGTCGTTCTTGGAAGACCGTAAATTTGCTGTTAGATGTGGCGAGGCCATCTCCGGTATTAGAGAAGCTCACGCTGGTGTACCCCAAGGCAGCGTTCTTGGCCCGTTGATGTACAATGCTTACACGGCCGACCTCCCTGTTCTTCAGAGGCCTGACCTGCTCGCAGCAACCTATGCAGACGACACCGCCTTCCTTACCACCGCCGATAGCGCATTGGGGGCAGCCGATACGATGCAATTGCAGCTTGACTTGCTCAGCGACTGGCAAAAGCGATGGAACATTGCCGTCAATAATGAGAAGTCCACTGCCTCCACATTTTCTCTCTGCAAAGGCAACTGCCCTCCAGTTAACCTTAACGGCTCTCCAATCCCACAGGTAGACAATCCCAGGTACCTGGGATTCACCCTAGACAGGAGGCTCACCTGGAAGCCCCATCTGATTAAGAAGAGGAAACAGGCTATTCAAAGACTTCGATCCTTCTACTGGCGAAGGAGGAGATCGAAGCTGAGAACTTCCACTAAACTCCTCATCTACAAGGCAATAATACGCCCTATCTGGACGTACGGCATACAGCTCTGGGGAACTGCGAGCAAGACGAATGTCCGAACTATGCAAGCTTTCGAAAATAGAGCCCTTCGAATCGCCACTGGGGCCCACGTCTATCATGACAATCGCACCATCCACGAGGTTCTCAATTTCCCTTGGGTCAAGGACGAGATACAAAGAAGCAGCGCACGTTACATGCAGAGGCTTCATAATCACCCGAACCGGTTGGCCAGCTCCCTGCTGGACAGCAGCGAGCAACCCAGAAGACTTAAAAGGACACACGCGCTGGACCTCCCCTTACTACTCTAATTTTTTTTTCTACCATATTAATATTTAAAAATATCTATACGTGAAGTTTACGTGATAAAATTTAATGGTTGTCCCTAATGGACAGTTTTAAATAAACATTACCCTGCTATTACAAAAAAAAAAAAAAAAAAAATTGAAGATATTTCTGACATACTATTAAAATGCCCAAAATATGGATCAATCCGTTCAAATTTCCCGCCTCTACTAAAATATGACGATATATATCGGTTCTTTGAGCACGAACCAATAACAAATTACTCCTTTATAACTAAATTTTTACGCTCAGCAAAAATAGACTTATGATTAACATTTCATCAAATTTTATTAATACATCACACATTTTGAATGAACATATGAATATAATCTCAATTAATATCGATTACATCATCACTCATCGGATTTCATCGCACATCTTCATAAACTAACAGCACGAATTTCATTCTTATTTTCGTTTTAAAGAATTAATAACCAGTGTCTTGAAATTTCATTTCACACATAGGCGGTGGCGTTTACCCGTTTCTTATTATACGGGACGGCCAAATAAATCTTCCCCATTTTCCTGGATGAAAGTAACTTAATACAAAAAAAAAAAAAAAAAAAATGAAATGCATGTGGTAAGTGAAAATTTAAAATCAATTAAAATAACATTAAAGAAACAATTTAAAATTTACAGGAACATGGAAAGGGGACATCAAGGCAACATCATAGCTGGTCATGAGGAGTTGGCAGCGAACTTGGAGCTGGCGTCGGTAAAAACTCATGACGCCGACGTCGACGCCGCCGCACACACAAATTGGCCGGCCGCGAGAGATGGTGTGCGCACCAAATTGGAGCTGGTGGATGCTGTTGCAGGAACATGGAGGACAACCGGTGAGTACATAACAGGTGGCTTCTCTCCTTCTTACTGTTAATAGAAGGGGAGGGGTCATAAATTGCGTCATATTTTAATATAATATTGTTTTATTTTCAGATGGCAGAAAAAAGAAGAAGACGGCAACAAGTGACGTCGCCGGAGCATAGCAGCGAATTCCCACGAAGAAGCCGGCGCAAAATAAATTGACGGCGCCGACATGGCACGGACGCCGACAAAAAGTGCGCATTTTTCGAGGAAGAAACGGCGCCAGCAAAATGGGCAGCGCAAAGCCCAAATAGCAGCACCGGGGTGTGTGTTATTTGACGCCGAATAAAACCGGCAGTTGGACGCAGCAGATGGTGAGTTTTAGTGGCAGAATATTGGCTTCATTTTCTTATTTCTTTTTCTCATCATTTTAGCAGCAGCTGCGCAGCCGACAAACGCCGGCCACATTTATTCATTATTCAGCCACTCGTCGGGAAGGTTCCATGGTAAGTATTTTAACATTGTTTATATCATTTTCTCTTCTAATTTTCCTTTTATTTTCAGATATCCAAAACATGACGAAGAGGACGGACGCGCATCGTAGTGTGCCAACGTGGGAACATGGACCAACGCGGGACATCACCGATGGACAAACGCGGGACATCGACGGTGGACCAACGAGGGACGACATCGGTGGGTAGCTGCAGGCGCTAGTGCGTGGCCGCCACAGCTGCTGGACCCCGATGAGGACGCCGAGGGAGGATGGTCACAGTGAGTAGCGCCAACGTGGGACCGTTCAGTGAAAGCCGGCGCCGTCATCACACACCTAGGCATGGCGTCGGCTGCGGTGGCTGCCGTCGTGAATTGGCTGCCGTCGTGAAATTGGCCACAAACGACTGGGGCATGCCGCTGCCGTAAATGGATGCGCCTCACAGGGACCACAGCAGCGATGGACGATAAATTATTCACTTACGTAGTGAAGTGGTGTTTGTTTACATTATTTACATATATAAAAATCGTCAATTTCAGGAACGCCAAATTCTAGAGAAGCCGCGTCAAGCTGGGCCATGGCCGGACAAATGGGAGCAGAGGTGGCCATCCAGGAGGCACACACGGATGCAGGACCCATGAAGGGGAAAGAACCCCTACCCCTGCGCATGGTTGCTGGCCAGGAAGGGGAGTCGTCCTCAATGGCGGCCATCCGTTTTTTAAACGGATTATCCGTGACGTCATCGGCAGCATTGGGTGTCATTTTGTATCATTAAATTGTCAAATTTTTTAATTAATTGCATAAATATCTTTTTTAGGTAGTCAAGTCTGGATATCACTTTCTCCTGGAGGTCATCGTTCATCAGCTGCTGATTTTTATTTATTATTCTGTTATTTATTTTATTTTTTGAAATATATGTCGGCTCCTGTTGGTGGCCAGGGTGGGTGTGGGTTTTCAGGGCGTGCCTTCGATGAGGTCACAACTAGGACTGATAGCCACTACCAGAGTGGTTACAGCTTTTTATTTGCGTAATATACAGTGATTACTTACACTAATACATTTTATACAAATATTAGATAACATAAGAAGCAATTAATAACAAGCTTATAGAAATAATTGAATTACTAACAGTTTTTAACATATAAGATTTGGAGTATCAATAAAGAGAAAAGTAAACAGAATAACTGAAGTATTTTATAAATAGTGCAGATTTAGTATAAGGATAATTATTTACTAAGAACGTTGAGTCCAAGCGTCGACCTGGAATCCTGAAGGCCAAATCAGTGGTCAGAACGCTGGGTAAATGGAGAGCGAATTGGAAAGCCGGTACTCAATAGCAGATTAGTTGATTGGAGGCTACCGCAAAAGTTAGGAGTTCAGGAGTCACAGATGTAAACAGGTGCAGTTGGTGAGGAATGATGCAGATTAAGAGTAGTAGGATATAATTTGGAGCAATTAAATAATAGATGCAACAGAATTAGGTAGTAGACAATGAGTATAAAAGAGTTTTGAATTCACTTAGATAAAGATAAAATTCGATCGTAGGGTCCAAGCATCGACCTGAAGTCCTGGTGGCCAAGCCAGAGATCCAAACGCTGGGAAGATGAAGCTGGATTGGAAAGCCGGTGCCCAGTGGCAGGGTAGCTGGTTGGAGGCTGCTACCAGAGCTAGGAATACAGTGCCCGATCCCCAAGTTTAGGGAAATTGGTAATCAGGAGTCACAGATATACGCAGGTGTAGTTGGGAAGGAGTGATGTAGATTTAACAATAGCCAACTGGAATATCAATCAGCAGTCAGGGGTAGCAGGTGCCTGAGAATTTTGAGGAGTAAATTAGTAGGAAAGGTATGGTTATACTGCCTTTCCCGGCAAATCAGTGCCATAGTAATCTTATAATTGAAGTAAATTGGCTGACCAGTCAAGGGTCAGATACCTTTGTTTATTTAAGGTAGAGCTTCGTTTAGTTAAACAACATGTATAGCAAGAAGTTGCTAGGTAGTGTAGAAACAAATGTTTCAGAGACAGGGTTGCTGTGTGATAGCAACATAAAGAAACTGAGCGTCAGAGTGTAGGGTAGGAGGGCATGTGAGGAATATACATGGGTCTCGCTCTATCCTATGACTTTAAGCATAACTGGCAAAGCTAAGTTAGTATTAGTGCAGTGTGCAATGCAAGAAAAACAATAATTGAGTAGCACATGTTGTTTACAATTTTAGCAATAAGTTTTCTCGTTGCAAATCTATTCGCAATCAAGAAATCAGCGCCTGCATAGGATGTAGATTCAGGGCAAACATCAGCCTTTATTAATCCAAGGTATGTGGCAAAATTTGTAGAAACAAAACAAGTTCATTCTGACAGTTAATAAGTTGAACATTATCTAGTAACAGGCAATTATATTTGGAGTAAAAAAAGCAGGAATTATTAGATGCAAAATTTCTTATTGCAGATCTATACACCAAAGAATCCAATATGTGTACAGGTGTTGGCCGTCAAGCAGAGTTTAAGTTGGATTAAACACAGGTATGTACATAAGTTTACAGCAGTATGATGAATTAATAGATCCAGGCTTGTATTAGCAGATCATCCTCACACCAGTGGTCACAGGAATTGAGATTAGAAAGTTACAGTAGGTGGGCAGATTTATTTGGAGCAGATTCATTGTAGCTTTATTCCTGTTTGAGAGTCCATCACAGGCAGCAGAGCCAACTGCATAGCAGACATCCAGGTTGAATTTACTACAGGTATGTGGATGCAAAAGTAATAGTATGATAAGATTAATCCAAGTTTAAATTATTGTTCCAGATATGGGGGACAAGCAGTAAGAGGATGCCAAGCATAGCCAGCGAAGGCAGATAAAGAAGTAGCAGGCAGCATCTGATTAATCCATGGTCCTACAAATCAGTATCACTGAGCCACGTTCTGAGACAGGGAACTAGTATTTGATTGAATTCCAACTGCAAGGCAGACACCGGGATGGATTAATCGCAAGTATATAGACAAATTAATAGAAGTATGCTGAGTTTAATTTGTTTCCAAAATCCTATTTCCGCAGAGGTATATTAGCAGCAAGGATGACGCCAAAAGCAGAGCGCGACGCCAACTAGCCAAGGTCAAAAATGCGTGGCACAGTGGGACAACCATTCTCCAGGTCCAGCGACGATGCACGGATATCATTGCACCGCGCTCAGTAGACACACAGCACTTATTAACAGGTCCCAAATTAATAGCGCCATATAATATCAGCAGGTATAGAACCATAGAGACTGGAAAGCTTCACTAGGTAGACAGATTCATTTTAAGTAGATTAATGGTAATGATTTCATCTAATATTTCTAATTGCAGTTTTATTCCTGTTTGAGTATTCAGTAAGTGTACCAGAGCCAGTCACATACAAGTTAAATTGTTTGTAGTTCGGTGAATTAAAAAAATGAAAATTTTATTTTTTAATTTCACAACTTGGTGTTAAACCTTTATTTATTAAACGCAAAAATTACAAGACACTTTGATTTTTCTTAAATATTTTTGTCAACCGTTCGCGGTCTCGGTCAAAATAGGACTGACTTCTTAATTCTAAATCTGATCCAAAGAACCTCGGCCATCAGTTGTGTTTAGATTAGAGGCTTAAGATAAAACTGTCGCATCTTTTTTTTTTTTTTTTTTTTTTTTTTTTTTAACGTTTCTTTTATTTCTTGAACTACCCCTTTTTTTCTTTCTCCGGTCCCGTCCCGGGTGTTTCGGCAACAACCAAGGTGCCCCGTAGTTTTTTTTTTTTTTAACGTTTCTTTTATTTCTTGAATCTTCTCTTTGCGAGACTAACAAGAGGTGTATCAAATCTTATATTTTTAACTTAACTAACAGTCATATTGACTGATACGGAGTTAGACGGCCCTAAAAATCGATTGCTGGGTTGGGAGGTCGTTGCGTCTAAGGCGGGATACGCTAGAAACCCGAGTCAATCCCCGAGCGAGAAAATTTGGATGCGAAGACAGTTTTTCTTTGTATGACTCTTTTTGCTTCTGGATTTCGTCTTTCACTGCGAGGATGCCCAGATCCCGGTGGATGTTTTCGTTGCGAACATACCAAGGTGCCCCTGTGATAGTTCTCAGGATTTTTGATTGTGCGCGCTGTATGATGTCTATGTTGCTGCTGCTCGCGTTCCCCCACAGCTGGGAGCCATACGTCCAGATTGGCTTTAGGACTGAATTGTACAGTAGTAACTTGTAGTCTAGGCACAGTGGCGATCGTGAGTTTATGATCCAGTGGAGGCTGCTGGCTTTCAGTTTTAGATGCATCTTTTTGCATTCGATGTGCTTACGCCAGGTAAGTCGTCTATCAAGGTGAACGCCAAGGTACGTTACGTCGTTAGCTTGAGGGATCTGCATACCATTTAGTAAAAGCGGAGGGCATGTTTGTCTATTAAGAGTAAACGTTATATGTTTACACTTTTGTTCGTTTATTTTAACGAACAGCCACCAGTCGGACAGCCACCTTTCCACTATTGTGAGATGATTAGCCAGTTGGTTTGTTGCCTGCGTTGGGCATCTGGAGCGACTAAGAATAGCGGTATCATCGGCGAACGTTGACGTTGTTAGTTGTGCGCTCGTAGGAATATCCGCAGTATACAAAACATATAGACACGGCCCGAGTGCGCTTCCCTGTGGAACTCCAGCTTCGATGGTGTAGTCGCCCGAAGTAGCTGCGTTGCATCTCACTGAGAATACCCTATTGAAGAGGTATAATCCAGTAGCTTGTGGGTGTATGTTGGCAAATACGTTTTAATTTTGTGCATGAGTCCGATGAGCCAAACTCGGTCGAAAGCTTGAGATACGTCGAGGAAAATAGCGCTGCAGTATTCTCGTTGTTCGAAGGCTGAGCGTATTTCGGATGTTAATCTGTTCACTTGTTCGATGGTTCCATGGTTTCTTCGAAAGCCAAATTGGTGTGCCGGGATGATATTGCAAGCTTCCAGATGTGGTATTATGCGAGTTAACAAGCATTTTTCAAACAGTTTAGACAAACAAGATAGAAGGCTTATTGGTCTGTATGATGACGGAATTGTGTGGTCTTTTCCAGGCTTCGGTGTCATTATAATAATGGATTTCTTCCACTTTTTTGGGAAATAGCCAAGATTAATGATTCCATTAAATAGTTTGCAGACGACCTCTATAGCGCATTTTGGAAGTTCGATCAGCATCTTTGGGGTCAATAGGTCACCACCGGGAGCCTTTTTCGGTTTTAGCCCTCTTATGACTTTTTCAATTTCGTTCGGCCGGAATGAGGGTGCGGCTGGCTGAGGGGAGGACTCTGGCTGAATTACGGGCAGGAGGAATGAATTTGAGGCTGGGTTTGGCTGGAACACACTTTGGAGATGTGTGGCGAATGTTTCAGCTCGGTCTTCGTCGCTGCGAGCCCAGCATCCCGAAGAGTTTCTTATCGGGGTGGTCGTTTCAATTGGGGCACTAAGATTTGGGTGGGCCCTCCACAGGGGGTACTTTGTGCTTGTTGGCGAGAGATTCTGGATGTACCTCAGCTGTGCATTTTCTTCCTGTTGGTGAAGAGCCTGGTCGAGTGATCGGGTTGCTTCCTTAAGGCGTTGTTTTGAAGCTGGTGATCTGCTGTTTTGCCAATCACGACGCGTGCGCCTCTTTTCTCGCACGAGCTGTTCGATTTGCTGATTAGATTTGAAGTGTTTGTTTCGGTCTACTTCTTTCCTATGAGGAGTAGAGATTTTAGCTGCCGCAACGAGTACTTCTTCCAGGGCGCTCGTAGTGTAGTCGATGTCCGATTCCATGTTAAAATCCGGGGCGAGTTCTATGTGGGCACTCACGTACTTTTTGTATTTTAGCCAGTTTGTTTTTGTCGTCGTCAGACTGAAGGGGTGTTCGGTTATTTCTGGGCTTTGAAGAAGCGTTAGAAGCACAGGCGAGTTGATTTACAGGTCTGATGATAAGTCCGAGACTGCTTTGGCACTTATTAGATTGCGAGGTTTGTTTTTGTCACTGCAAAATCAATAAGGTCTGGGAGCTTTCGTGAGTCTGTTGGCCAGTATGTGGGACTTCCAGGGGAAACGTAGTCCAGTTTATTTTTCACATTTATAATTGCATTGTATAATTGTCTTCCTTTGGGAGTCACTAGACGTGATCCCCAGTGCGTATGTTTGGCGTTGTAGTCTCCTGCGGCTATAAATCGATCCCCAAGTGAATTGTAGAAGTCCATAAATTGTCCTTCCGAGATTGAGAAGCGAGGAGGGCAGTAAACGGCAGCAATTGAAAGGATTCCGTTGCTTGACTGAATTTGTATCGATGTGGCCTGCAAGAAGTTTGTTGCAAACCTTTTGTGAAAATGGTGTTTAATTCGTTCTCTGATTAGAACTCCAGTTCCGCCGTGGGCTTTCCCATCTGGATGATCTGTGCAGAGTTTGAAAATATTGTTTATAAAATTCATAAGTGGAAAGCAATAAGTGGCCTGGATTTATGGGTTGGATAATTGAGCCAAAGATCAAGCCAAAGGCAAATGCAGAGATTGAAAATATTGTTTATAAAAGCCATAGGTGGCCTGTATTTAGGGGTTGGATAACTCTCCCCCTTCTAAAATGGATCGTCCCGATTCAATATGAAATTCGTTTAAATGATCTCTTAATTCTGTTAAAAAAATTTCTTGGTTAATAGATTTTTCTGGTTCAGGCCGATATTTTTTGGTTGCAAATAATATAGCATTTTTGTCTTTTATAATAAGTGAAAGAATCAAATATATAATGATTAAAATTAATAATATAAAGGTTAGTGATATTTTAGTATTCTTAATTTTAACGAATGGGTTTAAAATGTTTATATTATCTAAAGAAAGATCAGAGTTATTTGATAATATGTAATCGGATATTTCATAATTTTTAAAGTGGTTCGTAGTTACGTATTCAAGAATTTTATTTTCCAAATTGGTATATGAGATATTATTAATTTTAGTTGTACCATTAAATGTTATTAAAAACGAACCGTTTAAATAGGAGTTGTTAACAATATTGTTCCCATTTATAAGAATGGCACCATCTTGTATGATGTCTATTTTTTTATTTTTTTCTCTTATTTTTTTACAGGTTGATTTCTCACCATTTAATAATCGGGTAAAACAAGTTTTTTTGTTACTTAGAGTGCAATAATTATTAAAAAGTTCGTTCTTAAAATTAGACATTTCGTAAAAAATATTTTCGCATTTTGCGACTTGATTGCTTAATACTAGTTTTCCATTGATTTGGGAAATCGCTCTAGCGTGATGTATTTCACATCTGTGTTTTATTATTGGGTATTTTATATAAATTTTTAAAAGTTCTTTATGCAATGCGATTTTAAAAGTGAGATATCCATTAAATCAGCTATAATTACTGGTTTTTGTTCATGTATTAATATTTACAAGATGTCATCATTGTTTAAAATTTTGGTATTAAAAACGTCTATTTTTGCTAGAGTGATTGTGTCAATTAAATTTTGCAGTTCAAATGTTAATAATCGCAAGCGATGTTTTCGAAGTGGTAGATCTTGATCAATAAATACTTTTTTAAAATCATCGGAAAGAGATTCTATTTCTTTGAATAATCGGGAATTGATAATAGACTGCTTATTATTGTTTTCAATTAATTCATTAATTTTATCCTGAACTGTAATAAAATCATCATGGTCCGGAGTTCCAGCTAACCATTTCCACACGGTGCCTAACTCATTTATCCCTCTTTTTGATCTAGTTGATATTAATTGCGATAAAATTAGTTCGATTACTTTTATGTCATATTTAATTTCCCATTGTGACCTTTTATTAGTATCCCTTTTAATATTATCTGATTCCAAATTTATTATTTCTTTATAAAAGCTTAACCCTCTAGGCCCCAATTGTAGAAATATTAAAAAAAAAATAAGTTGGGTAATTTTTTTTGGGATAAAATATAGCTTTTAATTTCAAATATGACCTCAAGAAGTTTGTACTAGTCTTAGTTTACCTGTAAATCGAACAAAGGTAAATAAGTGCCTCAAGGCACTCTTGGGGCTTTAAGTCAATTTTTTCTTACATGATTTTATTCTAATTTTTGATTATGGTACTCAAAGAAACAATTTTTATTTGCCGTACAGCACAAGTGCAAATTACATTTTGTGCACATACATTGTGTTTGGGATTTCTTGCAGGGCTTGCACCATCTTTTGCCACTGTCTCGACTCATCCAAACAGGAAAATGGTTGACTTCATCAAACCGTACATCTGAAACTGGATGCTTTGATTTTTCACCAACTGTGAGCGATGGCTTTGAAGATCTCGGTGTGGATGGGGATTGCATTGTCCAACCTGGTTGTGCAATTCGCTGGGATGATGGTGACGGAAATTTTCGATCATAATCACGGAATGTGCGACCGCGTTTACGCTTGCATTGATATGCCACTAAGCCAGCAGCAATTGATTCCCGAAACTCCGGAAGCTCCAACAATTTGTCTGTGCTCTTGTTTTCTTTTTTAATGCGCCTGTATAAAACATACGCATTTGTTGCTGCCATATCAACCAAATGGTAAAAAATTCTTGTCATTGCATCTTGTGTTTTTGCTCGAATATGATAACGACCCATAAGCCCATCCATGAGGTCAACACCGCCCATGTGGGCATTATATTCCCGAATAATTTGGGGACAATCAACCTCAATATGTCTTTTAGATTTCTTGTCATAACGAGCTATCTTTGCTATTCCTTCATTTGCATTTAATTTTAAAAATGGCTTAATACCAACATAAGTTGATAGCAAGCAAACGGCTTTATTGTCTTTCCATAACACATTTGTTATATCGATGCCATATGACGAACCGACATACTCAGTCGAAAAACCTCTCGGCTGTTTCCTGATCGAAATGTCATTCGGAAGCTTGCAATTTGGAATGCGATTAACACGCACTGTTCCTAGGCTATATATCCCTTTAGCACGCGGATAAACCATCAACGATAAAGAAGTTTAAAAGTTGTCAAAATAAATGATGTAGTTTTTGAAACTTTCTACCGTTTTTGTCCGGCGTACAACAATGTTTGCCGACGGTCCAAGATCTGGATGAGCAGGCATAACCAAATGAGTCGCACAACACAAACAGCTTAATACCCCACTTATGCGGCTTATTAGGCATATACTGCCGAAGGTGGTGTCTCATTTTTGTGCTGCACATTTGTTCATCGACGCAGAGTCGTGCTTGCCTTGGCACGAAGTCAAACCTCTGGTTAAGGTGATCTAAAAACGTACGCGTGCGATACAGTGAATCGTATCCTGGCTCACCTTTCTGGATTCGCTTGCTCTCATCCCGCAGTGAGAAGTATTTTTTGATTTCCTCAAACTTGTTTCGCGACATGGTGTGTTTTATAGGTCCAAATGCATTTATACCCCAGTAGCTTTTTATATTCGGGTATCGATAAATTGACATGTAAATTAAAATTCCAATGTAGTGATGGGCATCGTCAATGCTGAATTTGAATTGATTGTTTATGTTTTTCGTTAGTGCTGACCGAATGGTTTCTTCAACAATCATATTCATAATCTGTGAATCGAAGAAGTAACAGAAAATCTGCAAAGGTGTTGCAAGTTCCTTTATACTATCTGGGAGTGAAGAATCTCGCCGAAAAGCTATGTCGTTGACATGTAACTGCATCGACTGCTGCCTCCATGTTACCTTAGTTGGCACCTTGTTTATTAATTCAACACCTGTTCATAAATTAATTACGTATTTGAGTACCACTTTATGACTTAGATTTCTTACCGGCACAATTGAAACCACCAGAAGAAGGCTCAGATGTACACACTGAATATTCAATTGTCGGCAGTGGTGAACGAGGTCTCTTTACAGGATTTTGGGTATTTTCTAGCTGCTGTACGTTTTCCTTGACAATATCTCCGCTATTGTCTATAAATGAAATAGTTTCGGCGTCCTCTAATGCCGCGTTAAGTGATTCTACTAAATCCAAGCTGTCTTCATCGTCATCACTAGAATTACCCAAGAGTTCCTCGTCCGTTTCAGCATCATTGAACAAATCCAGCAACTGTTCATCGGTCAACTCGGATAATTTAAACCGTCTACGCATTCGACCTGCCATTTCGGTTTGTCTTCAATGAGAAACCATTTAATAAACAGAAACAAACACAAAAATTGCATGCAGTTGTGAAAAAGGTCGCGTGGTGTCCCAACAGTGCCTCAAGGCACTTATCACAATTTCACCGCTGCAACGCACTTGTTGTATAAAATTGCTTATATACAACTTGATTTGGATAATATAATATCTTACCTTCAAGAAAAATAATTTTTATTTGGCTGCTTTGAAGTTATTTAACTTTTATTAATTAACATAAACACACTACGCATCTCACAGCAATTTTTGCGCGCGAATGCATGATGCATGTAAACTCATAAGTTCACAATTTTATTGTAAACTGACAAATATAATTCAAATTATTAAAAGTTGTTTCATTTTTTAGATAATACAAATTATATAATAAGTGCCTTGAGGCACTCTTGGGTATTAGAGGGTTAAGTTAGTTACATGGAATAAATCTGCGTATGAATCGTACGTCAATACGTCTTTATTGTCTCTAAATAGAAGATATTCGTGACTTGTATAGTCAATTATTTCTGATTTTGTTAATAAAATAAGGTGTAGTATGAGCACCTGATAAAACATTTTCTGGGAAAGGAAAGAAAAAAAGGATACTATATAAATACTTAGAATTTTATATTATCTTTGTGAATAATTCTATTTCTATTGTTGATTATTATTTTGTTGGGTAAATTTTCCTTAACTATTTGTTTTTTATATCTGGTTTTAAGTTTATTTCTTTCCTCGTGTTTCTTTTCGTAGACTACCTGTCCTACATGATATTTTTTTTCTTTTCTGTTTTCATTATGTGTTTCCAACATTTTCTCTTGAGTATTTTTCAAAAGTTCAGGAATGTTATCGTGCTCTATTTTATTATATAATACGTCAAAAGGTTTTTGGTTCGTTGTAGAATGAATGCTCTGTTTATATTCTCGAGCGGCTCTTATTATTATTTCGGAAAAGTCAGTTAAATTAAATTCTTCTTTAATGCATCGAGCTAATTCTGTTAATGTAGAATGTGCCCTTGCAACCTGTCCGTTTGACGTGCTGTGCCTCGGGTCTGCGTAATGTAAAGTTAAATTGCACCTTTGTGCGAAAGATTTAAATTGGGCCGAGGTAAAGCTCGGTTCATTATCGGTCATTATTACTTTTGCTTGTGGAAAATGCTGAAGAAGTTCCATTACTTTATTTTCGATATTTAATTTATTTTGGATTTCTTTTACTACTAGAAATTTTGAGTAAGCGTCAAAACAAATTATGAAAGTATGACCTTGAGCGTAATACATATCAATGTGTAAATTTTCTGCTTCTTTACTTGGAATTGGGGCTTCCCCAATTGGAATTTTTATTGGGTGCCTGTTATATTTATTTTCGTTACAAATCACGCAATTTTTAATATATTCTTTTAATTTTTTAAAACAGTTTGGCCAATAATATAATTTACTGATCTGTTTGTAATTCTCTTCTAGCCCCCTATGAGCACGGCTGTGCGTTTCTTCTATTATTAAAGCTTTATCTTCCTCGTTTTCCACGTCTTGTAGAAAGATTCTTGTAAAAAGGAATGTGTTTGTGAAATTATTTTTTAAAGGTAATTGAATTTGAAATAAGTCCTCTAAGGTACAATGAATTCCTACCGTAATGTTAGGTGGAAGATACTCTCTTAATATAGTTATTAAATTTTCTGGTGTGTCATATTCAATTAAATGTCGTGTCCTGTCAAAAATTTTCAGTGACTCATGTATTGTATACCTCCCCGTTGTTAATAACAGTTGTTGTTTAATTGATTTAACGGTTTACGGGTCTCTTGTATTACATTTTCAAAACTACTTTCAGCTGAATGCTGTGTGTTCTGATCTGAGTCTGACTGGTCTGTTTGTTCTATATCGCTGTCAGTAATATTATTTATCTGAATTCGAGATAATGCGTCTGCAACTACATTTGTTGTACCGGGCTTAAATGTTGTTTTCGGTGTAAAACTTTGTATGAAAGAATACCATCCTTTCATATCTACATTGGGATTTTTATCCGAAATTGTGTAAGATATAGTTTGATGGTCGGTTTGAATTTCAATTCCAATTACTCCGTATAAGTAATTTCTTAGATTTTTAAGAGCCCATACTATCGCTAAAAGTTCCTTCTTATTAGTCGCATAGCGTTTGTTCTGTTTTAGAAAAAGGTTTTGAAATAAAAGTGTAAAGTGATGGCTTTTTTTTTTGGTTTTTCTTTGAGTGGATATGTTGGATATAGTTTTACGTTTATTTTAATGAGTCTTTAATTAAAGCATTTTACCTTCTCGCCTCTAGCTTAAGAACTAACTTTACTCGCTGGATCAGTAACTAGTCTCGCCCTGGTATTTCTGGTGATGGTCACTGTGCCAGACGGATGGTCACATCGCCCAACAGATGATTGGTGATCAGCCTGCTTACATTCGGCCTTTCCTGATAAATAAATCTCAGCGTCCTCGCGAGAATCGTAGAATGCGTCGTCCTTCCAGTCCTCGTCGTCATCTTGGTCGTCCTCTGGAAGTTCACACCAGCGCTTCATCTTATCGGATGCATAAACTGACTTTTGGGGATATCTTCAACTAGATATCTTCTGGCATTGTATTGGCGCATGTTCCATAACAATAAATTCTTGTGCTTAACTTGCAAATAAATGTGAGACACGAAAACACTGAACTACGATTGTTTAGGCTAACTGGAACAAGAAGATAATCTGAAAGAATAAACGAATGAGTGAGCTGCCTTTTGTTCACTTTTTAGTAGAACTCAAATTTTTGTTTCGTCCCGATACGTTCCATAAAAATAAAATCTTGTGCTTAACTTGCAAATAAATGTGAGACACGAAAACACTAAAATAAGGTTGTGTAAAGTGATGGCTTTTTCGAGTGGTCTCGCAGGTTTATTCTTGAGTGGATATGTTGGATATAGTTTTACATTTATTCGATTGAGTCTTAACTTATGCGACTTTTCTCTTCGCCTCTAGCTTAAAACTAACTTTACTCGCTGGATCAGTAACCAGTCTCGCCCTGGTATTTCTGGTGATGGTCACTGTGCCAGACGGATGGTCACATCGCCCAACAGTTGATTCGTGATCAGCTGCTTACATTCGGCCTTTCCTGATAAATTCTCAGCGTCCTCGCGAGAATCGTAGAATGCGTCGTCCTTCCAGTCCGCGTCGTCATCTTGGTCGTCCTCTGGAAGTTCACACCAGCGCTTCATCTTATCGGATGCATAAACTGACTTGTAGTGGCGCTCATGAAGTATGTGGTATCTTAGTTGTTTTGGCACAACCCACAGCAATTTGTTGTCGTATTTTCGAAATAGGCGATCTTGCTCAATCACATACTCGTCGTTTTCAGTTTTCTTCGCGCCTTTCATCTCAGTGACAATGTTTCGAATCCTTTCATCTTGTAATTGTATTGCGAATAACCAGTCAGCTTCGTCTATAAGGGTTTTGGCAATCTTCAGACATGCCGTCTCAATGTCGTGGGCGTTCTCATAAGGTGCTCGACTCAAAGCATCTGCATGGCACATTAGTATTCCAGCTCGATGTACAATCTCGATATCATATTCTTGAATTCTTAACCACCATCGTGCAATTCGGGGTATAAGTTCCTTTTTATCCATTGATGATTTCAAGGCATTACAATCGGTAACGACTCGAACATTCTTTCCATAAACGTAGTACTTGAACCGCTCCAAGGATTCAACGACAGCTAGAGCTTCCAGCTCGTAACTATGATAGTTCTTTTCGGACTTCGATGTTGCTCGACTGAAATAGGCGATTGGCTTTAATTGACCCGCTTCATTTTGCATTAGTACCGCGGCCAAACCAACAGCACTGGCATCCGTGTGTAATTCATGTTCAGCATCTAGGCGATAGCTTGTGATAACTGGACTCGATGTCAGACTTCTCTTCAATTCGATGAATGCATCCTCTTGACGCTGCTCCCATATGAATGGTTGTGCTTTTCGCAATAGAACACGTAACGGCTCTGATATTATGGCATATCCGGCGACAAATTTTCGGAAATAACCAGTGAGTCCCAAAAATTGGCGTACTTCGGTAACATTAGTTGGTGTTGGAAACATGGAAATGGCTTGCATCTTTACTTCTCCAGGGCTGATTCCTTCGGCGTGTATTTTATGTCCTAAGAACATAATAGACTGCTCGTACAATTTACATTTGTCCAGATTTAGAGTTAGTCCGCAATCTCGCAATACAGTAAGGACTCTTTCAAGCTTTTCATACATTTCCTCGAAAGAATTGCTACCAATAAGGATCCATCCATGTAGTGGATCATGTCTCCTTTCTGCACGCGCATTTGTAGTTCTGCCATGAGACGATTGAAAATGGCTGGGGCATTCAACCCAAACGGGAGTCGCTTAAACTCGTACAGTCGTACTCGTACAGTGGTGATGAAGGCGGTAAATTTTCTGCTCTCGGGGGCTACTTCAATTTGGTAATAGCCGCTATTTAAATCCAGTGAGGTAAAATACTTAAATTGCTTTGCCTCCTGAAGGCGTTCTTCGATATTAGGAACAGGAAAATTCTCCTTCTTTAGCAGTTTATTGAGGCGTCGGTAATCAACACACAGTCGATCACTACCGTTCGGCTTCTTGATGAGTACCACCGGGCTGGCATACTCTGACGTAGATGGCTGGATAATATCCTGCTGCAACAACTCATCCAACATCTTGGCGACAACTTCCTTCTTCGGCTCGGGAATTCGGTAAGGTGGTTGAGAAACTACCTGGTTGCTCTCGACAGCTATATTGGCTTGGACGATGTTTGTTTTTCCTAATCCTTGCAGTCCTGTGGAGAAAACATCCTCGAACTTGTTTAACAACAGATGCATTTGGTTTCTTTCCTGATCATTGCTCATATTAGCGAGTAGCTTAAGGGTACCACTTTCGCTTCTGATGGTTTCTGGTTGTAGTACAGCTCGCTTGACTTCGGCGTCGCCTGGCCCAAACTTAAGGGATAACTGGGCGCTTAAAATGACATCCTGTCCCAACAAAAGGTCTTCTTGCAAAAGGTCGTCGTCAGCTATGTATAGATTCGCTTCAATAGTTTTTCCTTCGACGTCCATCTGTATAACCATTTTTTCGGTAAGAATACATGATCCTCCACATATGCCGCTTATCTTCATACAGCAGTTATGCCGATCTGTATTTAATCCTTTAGCAACTGACTGTCGCACAATACTAGCCTGGCTACCAGTATCAATGAAGGCATTATAGTTTTTCGAATTGATTTGTACGATTCTGGTGAACAACTTGTCCTGATTTAATGCTCCTAAACGCATCACCCTTGCAGCTTGGCAACTCTCTGTGATTGCGTGAAAAGTGTTGCATTTGTTACAGCGAGGCTTCTGCTCCTTACTCGGGCACGAATTGGCGAAGTGTCCCAACTCGCCACACTTGAAACACGTCTTGGCATCCTTCGATTTGGCTGGCTTGGTGTCACCATCTTGCTTTGTCTCTATGTTGGTGAATTTCGGTACGAACTCCTTTTTGTTTGTTAGGGCTCGGCCTCTGTTTACAAAATAAGATTCGGCTGCTTCTCTAAGTTGCTTCATTGTTGAAAATTGTATAGCTGCAATGCTGTTTTGTAACTCTCGGTGCTGCAAACCTGCGCGAACATATCTAATAACCGCTGCTTCGCTCAAAGTGTACCGCACTCCTAGGGCTGACATTCGGAAACAGTACTCCTTCACTGTCTCTTTGGCTCGTCTGGTTGCATTGGCCATGTTGAAATGGACTTCCGCTTCATCCGGACTTGTTCCAAACTCGTCCCTCATAGCTTGCGCGAAGTCTCTCCATGTTGTATGTACTACCGGCGATGAATCGAACCACAACTTGGCTGGTCCCTTGATCCTTGTATAAATTGCTAGTAATAAAAATTTCTCGTCCCATCGATACGCGCCAACCACTTTGTCGACACGATCGATGAACTGGTGCACCGATATGGCGTTCTCGTCTCCTGGATCAAATTCTGGCAAAGTGTCCGCAATTTCTTTTACCGACGCATGTCGAACGTTGTTTGCTGCTTGAAGAGTAGGAATATCTTCACCTCTGACATTTCGACTGACTTCCTCTGCGCGTTGCTGGCTGCTAGCTCCTGTATCTGCATCTGCATTCTGCCTCTGCATGCTCATCAACTGCGACATCATATTCTTTAGCTCGGTCATCTCATTTTGCAGTTGTGAAATGGCTGCCGCTTGTGACGTCATCGATTCCTCTCGTTGACTCATGTTTCCACTGGATGGTATCTCCACCTCTTCCGAATCCTCAAACTCCACTAGTCGCTGCACTAACTCTGCTCTGGTTCCCGCAGCTGCAAGATTTCGTTCTCTCAACAAAAATCTCAACTGGTCTACCTTGAGTTCAGCTATCTTGACCATTTTTTCCGTGTTGCTTCTCAAACTTTTTATTCGTTACTGCCAATTTCACCACGACGCCCATATACACACGATCCCTTTGTATGTATACTGTCTGGTTTTTTCTTAACTTTGAATCCGTCTGCCACGCACAAGTAACGAGTAATCTGTGGGACTGCTTCCCATTACCAACTTTCCACGCCGACGATTCTGCTTTTTTCGTTTTTCCAAATTTTTCGACTATCTCTCCGATTTTCGCATATCCAACACAAGAGTATCCCACTTCTGAACTGTAAAGTGATGGCTTTTTCGAGTGGTCTCGCAGGTTTATTCTTGAGTGGATATGTTGGATATAGTTTTACATTTATTCGATTGAGTCTTAACTTATGCGACTTTTCTCTTCGCCTCTAGCTTAAAACTAACTTTACTCGCTGGATCAGTAACCAGTCTCGCCCTGGTATTTCTGGTGATGGTCACTGTGCCAGACGGATGGTCACATCGCCCAACAGTTGATTCGTGATCAGCTGCTTACAGTTGTTTAGGCTGACTGTTTTTTGAAGAGTGTTTCTGGGTCTTTTGAAAAAAGCAGATAATCTCAAATTTTTGTTTCGTCTCGATACGTTCCATAAAAATAAAATCTTGTGCTTAATTTGCAAATAAATGTCAATCACGAAAACACTAAAATAGGGTTGTTTAGGCTGACTGTTTTTTTAATGGGTTTTCTGGGTCTTTTGGAACAAGCAGATAATCTCAAATTTTTGTTTCGTCCCGATACGTTCCATAAAAATAAAATCTTGTGCTTAATTTGCAAATAAATGTGAGACACGAAAACACTAAAATAAGGTTGTTTAGGCTGACTGTTTTTTTAAGGGTGTTTCTGGGTCTTTTGGAACAAGCAGATAATCTGGAAAAATCATTGAATGAGTGCGCCATCTTTTGTTCTCGTTTAAATAGAACTGTCGAAGTTTTGTTTCGTCTCGATACGTTCCATAAAAATAAAATCTTGTGCTTAATTTGAAAATAAATGTGAGACACGAAAACACTTAAATAAGGTTGTTTAGGCTGACTGTTTTTTTAATGGTTTTTCTGGGTCTTTTGGAACAAGCAGATAATCTGGAAAATCAATGGTTGAGTTCCTCGTCTTTTGTTCCCATTTTAATAGAACTGTAGAAGTTCTGTTTTGTCTCGATACGTTCCATAACAATAAATTCTTGTGCTTAACTTGCAAATAAATGTGAGACACGAAAACACTAAAATAAGGTTGTTTAGGCTGACTGTTTTTTTAATGGTTTTTCTAGGTCTTTTGGAACCAGCAGATACTCTGGGAAAATCAATGAATGAGTGCGCCGTCTTTTGTTCACTTTTTGTAGAACTGTCGAAGTTTTGTTTCGTCTCGAAACGTTACATAACAATAAATTCTTGTGCGTAACTTGCAAATAAATGTGAGACACGAAAACACTTAAATAAGGTTGTTTAGGCTGACTGTTTGTTTAATGGTTTTTCTGGGTCTTTTGGAACAAGCAGATAATCTGGAAAAATCAATGAATGAGTGCGCCATCTCTTGTTCTGGTTTTAATATAACTCGAAGTTTTGTTTCGTGTCGATACGTTACATAATAATAAATTCTTGTGTTTAACTTGCAAATAAATGTGAGACACGAAAACACTTAAATAAGGTTGTTTAGGCTGACTGTTTTTTTAAGGGTGTTTCTGGGTCTTTTGGAACAAGCAGATAATCTGGAAAAATCAATGAATGAGTGCGCCATCTTTTGTTCTCGTTTAAATAGAACTGTCGAAGTTTTGTTTCGTCTCGATACGTTACATAATAATAAATTCTTGTGTTTAACTTGCAAATAAATGTGAGACACGAAAACACTAAAATAAGGTTGTTTAGGCTGACTGTTTTTTTAATGGTTTTTCTGGGTCTTTAGGAACAAGCAGATAATCTGGAAAATCAATGGTTGAGTTCCTCGTCTTTTGTTCCCATTTTAATAGAACTGTAAAAGTTCTGTTTTGTCTCGATACGTTCCATAGCATTAATTCTTGTGCTTAACTTGCAAATAAATGTGAGACACGAAAACACTGAACTACGATTTCTTAGGCTTACTGGAACAAGCAGATAATCAGGAAAATCAATGGTTGAGTTCGCCGTCTTTTGTTCCCATTTTAATAGAACTGTAGAAGTTCTGTTTTGTCTCGATACGTTCCATACCATTAATTCTTGTGCTTGCAAATAAATGTTAGACACGAAAACACTAAAATAAGGTTGTTTAGGCTGTTTAATGGTTTTTCTGGGTCTTTTGGAACAAGCAGATAATCTCAAATTTTTGTTTCGTCCCGATACGTTCCATAAAAATAAAATCTTGTGCTTAATTTGCAAATAAATGTCAATCACGATAACACTAAAATAGGGTTGTTTAGTCTGAAAGTTTTTTTTATTGTGTTTTCTGGGTCTTTTGGAACAAGCAGATAATCTCAAATTTTTGTTTCGTCCCGATACGTTCCATAAAAATAAAATCTTGTGCTTAATTTGCAAATAAGTGTCAATCACGATAACACTAAAATAGGGTTGTTTAGGCTGACTGTTTTTTTATTGTGTTTTCTGGGTCTTTTGGAACAAGCAGATAATCTCAAATTTTTGTTTCGTCCCGATACGTTCCATAAAAATAAAATCTTGTGCTTAATTTGCAAATAAATGTGAGACACGAAAACACTAAAATAAGGTTGTTTAGGCTGACTGTTTTTTTAAGGGTGTTTCTGGGTCTTTTGGAACAAGCAGATAATCTGGAAAAATCAATGAATGAGTGCGCCATCTTTTGTTCTCGTTTAAATAGAACTGTCGAAGTTTTGTTTCGTCTCGATACGTTACATAATAATAAATTCTTGTGTTTAACTTGCAAATAAATGTGAGACACGAAAACACTTAAATAAGGTTGTTTAGGCTGACTGTTTTTTTAAGGGTGTTTCTGGGTCTCTTGGAACAAGCAGATAATCTGGAAAAATCAATGAATGAGTGCGCCATCTTTTGTTCTCGTTTAAATAGAACTGCCGAAGTTTTGTTTCGTCTCGATACGTTACATAATAATAAATTGTTGTGTTTAACTTTCAAATAAATGTGAGACACGAAAATAAGGTTGTTTAGGCTGACTGTTTGTTTAATGGTTTTTCTGGGTCTTTTGGAACAAGCAGATAATCTGGAAAAATCAATGAATGAGTGCGCCATCTTTTGTTCTCGTTTAAAGAGAACTGTCGAAGTTTTGTTTCGTCTCGATACGTTCCATAACAATAAATTCTTGTGCTTAACTTGCAAATAAATGTGAGACACGAAAACACTAAAATAAGGTTGTTTAGGCTGACTGTTTTTTTAATGGTTTTTCTGGGTCTTTTGGAACAAGCAGATAATCTGGAAAATCAATGGTTGAGTTCCTCGTCTTTTGTTCCCATTTTAATAGAACTGTAGAAGTTCTGTTTTGTCTCGATACGTTCCATAGCATTAATTCTTGTGCTTAACTTGCAAATAAATGTTAGACACGAAAACACTAAAATAAGGTTGTTTAGGCTGACTCTTTTTTTATTGTGTTTTCTGGGTCTTTTGGAACAAGCAGATAATCTCAAATTTTTGTTTCGTCCCGATACGTTCCATAAAAATAAAATCTTGTGCTTAATTTGCAAATAAATGTCAATCACGATAACACTAAAATAGGGTTGTTTAGGCTGACTGTTTTTTTTATTGTGTTTTCTGGGTCTTTTGGAACAAGCAGATAATCTCAAATTTTTTTTTCGTCCCGATACGTTCCATAAAAATAAAATCTTGTGCTTAATTTGCAAATAAATGTGAGACACGAAAACACTTAAATAAGGTTGTTTAGGCTGACTGTTTGTTTAATGGTTTTTCTGGGTCTTTTGGAACAAGCAGATAATCTCAAATTTTTGTTTCGTCCCGATACGTTCCATAAAAATAAAATCTTGTGCTTAACTTGCAAATAAATGTGAGACGCGAAAACACTAAAATAAGGTTGTTTAGGCTGACTGTTTTTTGAAGAGTGTTTCTGGGTCTTTTGAAAAAAGCAGATAATCTCAAATTTTTGTTTCGTCTCGATACGTTCCATAAAAATAAAATCTTGTGCTTAATTTGCAAATAAATGTCAATCACGAAAACACTAAAATAGGGTTGTTTAGGCTGACTGTTTTTTTAATGGGTTTTCTGGGTCTTTTGGAACAAGCAGATAATCTCAAATTTTTGTTTCGTCCCGATACGTTCCATAAAAATAAAATCTTGTGCTTAATTTGCAAATAAATGTCAATCACGATAACACTAAAATAGGGTTGTTTAGGCTGACTGTTTTTTTATTGTGTTTTCTGGGTCTTTTGGAACAAGCAGATAATCTCAAATTTTTGTTTCGTCCCGATACGTTCCATAAAAATAAAATCTTGTGCTTAATTTGCAAATAAATGTCAATCACGATAACACTAAAATAGGGTTGTTTAGGCTGACTGTTTTTTTATTGTGTTTTCTGGGTCTTTTGGAACAAGCAGATAATCTCAAATTTTTGTTTCGTCCCGATACGTTCCATAAAAATAAAATCTTGTGCTTAATTTGCAAATAAATATGAGACACGAAAACACTAAAATAAGGTTGTTTAGGCTGACTGTTTGTTTAATGGTTTTTCTGGGTCTTTTGGAACAAGCAGATAATCTGGAAATGAATGAGTGCGCCATCTTTTGTTCTCGTTTAAATAGAACTGTCGAAGTTTTGTTTCGTCTCGATACGTTCCATAACAATAAATTCTTGTGCTTAACTTGCAAATAAATGTGAGACACGAAAACACTAAAATAAGGTTGTTTAGGCTGACTGTTTTTTAATGGTTTTTCTGGGTCTTTTGGAACAAGCAGATAATCTGGAAAAAGCAATGAATGAGTGCGGCATCTCTTGTTCTGGTTTTAATATAACTCGAAGTTTTGTTTCGTGTCGATACGTTACATAATAATAAATTCTTGTGTTTAACTTGTAAATAAATGTGAGAC